ATTGCCATGGAACGTTGGGTTAGATGAACTATCAAATAATGTTTGGTGAGTAAAAATCGTGTATTTTCATTTGAATATTGCATAACACAATATTTACTTGGTTACACTAAACACTGGTAACTTTACCATAGTTGTGAACCGTTATTGAAATCCAGTGGTTGTGTATAAATTTCGGCTAACACATAGTATTGATTTTGTTTAAATGTAACTGCAAACATAATGATATCCTCTTTTCTTAAACGTCGATACATTCTAAAGTAATTTGTGTCATTTTCAAATTATTTCGAATTCGATTCGTCTTGCTCACGCCATGGGTCTTATTTTACAGAAACAATTAACGTCACTAGTAGACGTTATTCGTTTCAATTAATTTTGTTCGCAGCACACGGGCAACATCTTTTCTCTTGATATACCTGCCTGTTTGCCTGGTACACGTCAGTCGTCGCCCACACTTGCCACGGTACCGAACAAACACGCTTGTTATTTCCCACAGCTCAATGTTGTACAACTATATCATTTTCCCATTTAATTTGTTTGTTTTACACGTTCAATATAATTTTGGTGTTGCATTCGTTTGTTGTCCATTCTACTCGTTTCAAGTTGCACAACCAATGAACATTCAACGATTCGTTATAGTTTGTAGATTGAAATTACAAGTCATTGGAAGAGATGGATCGAAGGAGTAGAAGAAGATCTGGAATAGCTGGGTATAGAATATGGAAAGAAACAAAACAAGATAGAGATAAATGGCGTATTAGTGGCGGCCAAAACTTTAAAACAGTAGTTACGTCAAGAAATAAAGAATGAAAAAAAGAAGACATATTAAGTCACTATAATCGTATCTCGATAGACAGTCGCAATCCGGAGAGATAATAAGTTTGCCTTCATTAGCAGAGAATTGTTAAATCATAATGTTTTAAAAATGTTTGTGCATTTTTCTAAAAATTAAAATTAATTGTTTAAATTTGCCCGAAATCAGTTACACTAAATGTTGATAAAATAGTAGTAGATCACCAATAATAATGTAAAATTTAATACCTAACACACGGTAGATAATCTGTTGGATAAATACCCTTATGGCCTTATATATAAAGTTTCATATTCCAGCGCTACGTATGCTCTACACAAGATAATATTAATATGATAATAAATTTAACAATACTGTTTAATTTATTTAATCTGATATTAATTGTATTGTATGTTATTTTGTAGAACTGCAAGCGTGCAAAACGCGTTTGCTACACGTTTAGTGTATAGGAAGTAAGCAATATTTAGGGTACCTATAACGATAAACAGCACTTAAACTCGAACGAGCGTATGAGCTTATGTTGTGTAGTGTATACAAAAGCAAACAGGGCCGTTTAACGAGAAACTAGATTAACAGAGATTTACTTTACGTATAATATCATAAGTATTTAAGTACTCATGTTAAAGCAATAAGGGTGCAAGATGACGACAGAGCAACCGCCAGTATTTCTTCGAAAACGTTTGAATATTGATAGCCCGAAGAGCAACACAAGAGCAAATACCTACTCATAGCTCATGTGTTGCCTAACTATAGACCCTGACTAGTTTATATTAAATTATTTGTATTGTTGCTGACGTCAATGTTAAAAAATAGTTCAGAGACCAAAATTGTAAAAAAAAAAGGCGGAGATAGTAAAATATTTTGCTAAAAAAAATGTAACAAATTCATCAAACTTATGTAAACTTCTTGACATGACGTTTGGGTTTTAAATCAGCTAGTACTTACCAGTTTTATTTCACATTAAGTGGCGGCTTTGGTGTAATTAAAAAAAAACATTTTATGGTGTCATAAGATTTGTTATACATAATAAATTCTAGACTTACAAGATATTACAATTCTGCTTAAAGGATCAATTCTACATCAAAAACAATTACCTGTTTTAATCGTTAAAACGTTTTACTGTTATACTCGAGAAAAGAGATAGGTTATAATTTTATGACAATATTTTGACGAAGTTAATGTTCGATAGTTTAGTTTAAACGAGTGAAATTAAAACCAGCAATAGTCTTTAGGGCCATTAGTAATAATAATAATAACAATTGCAAAAAACGCGGTATTTTTGTTTTTAAGTTTTTAAATCTTAAAAATTAAAATCAAGTTTGCCAAAAAAAAAAAACTTACTTTACTGACATATTCTTCTTGTTCTTTCCTAAACGCTGTTTACATCTTGTTGCTTGTTTAAAACAAAATTGTTTTCAAGTCCCAACATTACAGAATTAACTCGCAGTTTTGGAGCCTAACCTTATTTTAAGCAACTGTAAAAATACTTTATCAAGCTAATTACTGAACAAAACATATTTACTAAGTTTGGAATATTTTATCGTTGAAATAATATTATACTAGGGTACTAATGATTTAATTTGTTATCAAATAATGTACGTAGAAGTACAGTAAAAATGAAAAATGAAAAAAAAAATACAATAAAGTAGGTTCAGTAAGTCCTTAAAGCTTTCTGATTTAGTGTAAGTCTACGTTTTAATATTAAGTACGTGATGAAAGTTATATAAAGGTTGAATGAGTTTAAAACTTTTTCATGACCACGAGTAATTCTTTTAAAGGCCTGTATGTTATCTTACTTGAGTGGTTTGCTATATTTTTGTCTCCACCGAGTGTACAATAATTAGCTTACACAGTAAACGACGATGATTTTAAATGGATTATAGATAAGTAGTTGTATTATAGGCTTAAGAATCTCAAATGGTATTGTTAGCATAATTAGTTACTAGTTATATTAAATTTGAACTAGAGAAACTTGAGGAATTTGAACTAGTAGAAATGTCTACTATATAAAAGTTTAGGAACTAAGTAATTTATTGAAAGTTATTTTGTCGTTTTCAGGTATAAGACTGGTGACCTCTCTAATACCATTATGCTCTTTTTTTTCTTAAATTAATTTTTACTTAAATGACATGCGAAATAACTTATCAATTTATTAAATAAATAGGTACTACAAATATACTAAGATACGTATAGATGGATGTTATATAAATATATATATATATATATAAGAAACATAGTAACTGATACGTCAGTCAGGTCAAACAAATATCTTTTGAAGAATTGTTTTAATGTAAAAATTATGTTTATTACCTCTAATATACGTTTTTAATAAATTTAAATGCATAATGTATTAACTATTACTATAATATACATACGAGTGATAGTACGGAAACAGGACTAAAAAAATACTGATTTCGAAATAACGAAACGCCCCTCCTAAAAAGTACTGTTTGGCCTTTTAAATAGTGTATTTTAGAACTTGGTTAGCTTATAATCTAAAAAGAAGATAATGTGCGAGTCTTAAAAACTTAAATCTATGAAAATAACTTATGTTTTTAACCTTCTGTATGAAATATAATTTGTGTAGCTCAACAATTACATTATAATATAGTGTATACCTATATAAATAATTATTTGATTATAACAATGAGATATGAAATCCAGCAAACATTCTATTGAAAAACTTCTAGCTAATTTTTAGGACGTTTTAGTTTAATGCAATGTCTTCTACATCTCTATACCAAATAAATTAAAATAATTTTGTACTTATTTACACAACCGTTATTAATGAATATATTTATCCAATGTTTGTACTTTTTCCGTGTTGGTTTTTAAGAATCCACACTTGCAGGGTAAATGTATAGAAATATTATGTAATTATTATTTTATTAATAGATAGGAATAAATGTTAAACCAATTTAAAAAAATTATAACCTTTTTGATTTTGTTGTTGTTTGAAATTGAACACACACTTACTTAGATCTTTAACACCATCTTAATTACTACCTTGCTAACAAATGTGTGTACAATCTAAAGATCATAAGAAATAACTAATGTCCCTTCACCCGGTAACCCGTAAACTCCCTATTGGCTGTACGTTTGTATATACTTTTTAGTATTTTTCTAAAAAAATATTGTAAAATTACATGAAAAGAAGATAGATGATAGTGAGGAGTGGCATTTTATTAACAAACTGTGTAACGAGGACGGTTTTTATATTTGTGCAATTGCCACGAAGTATTAATGAAAAAAATAACAGAACAACAATCTCATAAAAACCAATGAATTTAGAGTTAAAATAAAACTTAGAACTCTGTATTAATTTAGAATTCATGGAAATATAATGGAATAAAAAGATTCGATTTTTTTAGATAACTCAATTTGGAGTACAATTTAAGAAAATTATTCTAACGTATCATGCGTGTGATATCTTTTGTTTTTATATTTATTTACTAAATACGGTTACGTTATTATTTATGCAAATTTTAAGTACAGGGTGATACATTAAGGACAAGGCTCTCATTTTCACTTAAAACAATTGCAATTTTGTGGTTTTCCTTTTTGGTGACACTAAAGTTTATGTTATTTTACAATGTTAGAAAATGTTCAAATTTGTATTATTTACCAGAGTTTTATCAACTTTTAAACCTTAAATGGTAGATTAAGTATAATATGTATTCATTTTTACTTTTAAATGAGTTTTTTCATAGGCGAATTTTTTAGTTTTTCGTGTTTATGTAATTTAAAATTTTAATAAACTAAAGTGTTAAATGTTAAATTGCTTTCCACATCATTGCGGAAAAAAACTATTAACCTGATTAATTCAAATTCAAATTTAAATACCTGTAAAATGCAGAGCTTAAGCATCCTTAGTTTTTTTTATTGAAATTACGCCTATGGAAAATTGAGATCACATAGTATAAACACTGAAAAAAATGTACCCTGCATATATAGCTGTAATATATCATGTATTATTATTATTATATTTAAATATAATAATTAATAACAATAATAATATATATTGTTATTATGCATTCACGGTGCGTGTAAGTGTGTGAGCGCGCGCGAATGTGTGTACCGTTTTTCTTCCCACCGCCGCCGCCGCCGCGGCCGGGCAGGGGCAATGCGCGCCGCCACCGTGTCCACCGCCGCCCGCCGCCCACGGCCCATCCTCGTTGTCAGTGGTATCGCAACAGCCGTACCGTGTTGACGTGGTTGTGGTCACCTCCTGTTGTCCGTCTCGCCACTCGTCGTACTTTCACCACTGCTCGTCTTTGGGGAAAAAATTCCCACGTGCTCCGGCTAATCGTTTTTTACACATTTTTTTTTCCTTGAACGGTCCCCTTTGGGTGATTGACTTTTTTTAAATATATTTTTAAAGCGCGAACACGGACATTTTTTTTCGCCCTTTTGGATTTCGAACCCGAGTTTGGGGTTTGAAATACATACGTTTTGTGCTTTCGATTATTTGTTTTTTTTTGCGGATATCCATTGCCGTCGCGATGCCTCTGTTCGGCAAGAAGGACGTGAAGAAGGCTAAAAAGGATTCTGAGAAGGCGCAGTCGATCGAGGACAAGTACGACATCAAAGACCAGCTCGGCACGTGAGTACTTAAAAAATAATATCGCCAGTAATTTATTTTACTCGGAGCACGCGTTCGGTGATTTTTAGAAAAGAAAAACCCGTTAGATTTTAAATAACACCGGGATTGCCCGGCCATTCTCTTTTTCTTCCACCGTCGCCACTACAACAGCTGACTACACTCACAGCTCTCTTCGTGTTGATATGAAGTTTCAGCCAAGCACGAAAATAATTCATAATAATAATAATTTTGACAACAATACAAAATATTACATATTATAGTAACGAGTAACGCCGTGTTCGTTATGCATACATACATACAATATATTACATACGGTTTGTCTTCTCATTGATAATTGAGTATTTTTGTTTTCTGGTTAGACCGGATTTAAAAAAAAAAATGATATGTATTCAGAGTGGTTGATTTTTATTTTGATCCACTCATCGAGTTCAATTAGTAATTGAATTATTTTTAATATTAACGTGATCTCAATTTTTCACCAATTTTGATGTTTTCAACCCCTTCCTAAATTAATTATTTTATTGTATTACATAGTCTAAAAGTTATGTCGGGAGGAAAAGTGCCGTTAAGTAATGTGCACGGATAAAAGTAAAACTACACTTTACCCTTCCTCCAGTCTAAATTTTAATAACTTTAAAAATAGATATCCGAATCGGTTTGTCGACCAGTCTATATTTTAGTAAATTGTCGGTAAATTAATAAAATAGGTATATACATTACAATTTTTTTAGTTTTAAAATTTAATGTAAAAATAAGCAATTGGGGAGGCGGTTAAGAAGATAAAAGTGTGAAAAATTGAGATTTATGTATATAAAAATAATTGTAGTTCCCGTACAGACCAATGGTCAAGGACATCAGCCCCGGCTAAACTCTTAGTCTTATGATCATTATTATAATAATTAACAATAATATTACTATTGGTAATAATAAATAATATTTTTTATTTGCATATTTTTTTGTTTTCCTGCCTTCAATATTATACGCACGATCTACCATTTGTTTTTAATGAATCCTTATAAATGTTATCAAACAAAAACAACAAGAACTCGGACAGTCGCGTGACGTACTTACTGACCTATTGTGTTTATTTAATACCTAAATATCATTGTTATAAAAATTACCATAAGAATAGAATGTAATAATTCGAGATTCGATTGTTTACATGGCCATAATACATGAAAAGCCTATTTAAAAAATAAAAATTATACGGTTTTTTATTTTTTGTATCTAAATTGTTGTAGAACATCATAATGTAAATCAACAAAAAATCTGCTGGTACTTTTACCCACATTTGCATAAACGTTAGCGTTCAAAAAATGTCGAGAGCACTCTTATTTTTTACCTAAACTGGTTTACTAGCTCACCCCATGATGTAGTTGAAAAATTCATCTAATTTATCAGACATGTTAGCTATATTAAAAAAAAAAATGACAAGATTTGCAAAGAAAGGAATAATTGTAGTAGATAAACTAAAAAAAAAAAACTTTTAAAATACTTAAAATTGTTTTATATATATATATATACTGGCTAATGGTTGCAGTTAAGGTTGTAGGAAATTATGGTTAATATTGATACTTTCACGTTGAAAATATAAAGTTGCCGGTAGACAAGAATTTTGATAATAATCGGTCAGACTATGTGTACAGGTATTACCTACTTATATAGGTATTAGGTACTCGGTAGACCAGTTGTATAATAATCATATTATATTTACGATTTAGTCACATTTACGATGTACAACAAAAAAATGAAAGTCGCGAAAAACAGAACTAATGTTGGAATACATTAGTATAATAGTGTGCCGGTTTTTATCATTTTGTTAACCGGACAAGGTCGATCGTTTGTGTTTACGGCGATTTGTTATTAATTATAAATTACTAATTATCGTTATTGCTATTGTAGTAAAATATTTTCAACTACGGTAATTTAAATTATATTAAACCAAACTACTACCGGTGCATACTAATTGAAGGAGTTATTCTTCCCTAAAAATGTTTGTTAGGTGCGGTTTAAACATTGTTTTACATTCCAAATAAAAGGAAGGAACCGTGGATTGTTATCATTACCACTGACTTAAGTTCTGTTTAAGTATGAAATGAGAGGTAGTAACTATAATATAATATGAGGCGCTCAGAAGCAAAACCGATTAACTACCCTTTTTTTTTTTGCGAAATCCAACCATGATATTATTTGCAAAAAAAAAAAAGGGTAGTTAATCGGTTTGGCTTCTGAGCGCCTATATGTAGTATACATATGACTAATTTCAATTAAATTGTCGTTAATAGATAAAAAATTGACGTTTTTTTTTCTTGACACATAACCTCAGAATATTATCATTGTCACAGCTGTTCTCGTGTTAGTGAAATTGATTTAAAGTTAAAACGACAAATGTATATATTTTTCCTGTCTGATATCGGTTAATTTCGATGGTAAATATTAGGTATATTTTATTTTAAAACCATATTCGGACCGTACAAAGTGTCCGCGTTTTGCAATTTAAACAATAGACCTATTTGCTTATTGTATAATATTTATGTACAGATTGTAAATGTTTTTAAAAAATAAAAAAAGTCTCCAAGTTACATATTTACTTTGTTAACATATTTGCTTATTGTATAATATTTATGTACAGATTGTAAATGTTTTTAAAAAATAAAAAAAAAAAAAACAATAGACCGTACACCGGTGACCGTTTACCGTTACTATACCTATTAGATGAATTCATATTACTCTGGCTTGTACCCTTCTCGATCATTATCACATTCACAACTTTTAGTGTGATTGCGGTACGGTTAGATAATGGTAGTCCAATTGCCAATTGTGAAGTGCACCACCGGTCGATTGCATTCGTAAATCGTATACATACTACTAGGGGTTTTGTTTTTTATAAAACATATACTCTTTCGGATTCATTTCGATTACCTCTTCGCCTACCCACACTTAGTGTTCCCGACAGTTTTCACTGTACCCAAGTAAAGTTTGCATTGTTCCCAAATACTGTGATTATAATGTGCGTTTAAATAACTTGTTTGGTATTGCTGTATTAACGATTCGCCACCGGCCTCGACGGACACGTTATACAAACGCGTAAACAACATTTAAAAAATATGTTTTCCATTTCCACGTTCTTTTACGTGCCTTCAGTCTGCCAGTTTTGCGTATTTCTACAAATATTGACGTACACACAGTTTCCACATACATCCGTTATCGATTTAACATAAAAAACAAATATAATCAACTAGTCGAATTGATATCCGCTTCTTTTTTGTTTGTTTGTTCTGGCTGGTTTAAAAATACATATGATTCTTCGAAATGCTGAAATGTAATACGCCATTACATATTTTGTTTTGTTTCAATCGTATTTGTAAACGTATATTATTATTATACAATTCAACCGGATTGGAAATAAAAAAAAACAAATTAGTACTAAGTATACCGTTTATCAATGGCAACCGCACCGCTTCGTGTATACGTATAAAAAACCATAAACCAGTTATTATCGAAAAACAAAATTGTTTTGTGACGTTTATTCGGTAGTCGAAGTCTAATCGGTTTATCCGAATGTATTTTTTATTTTTTCTCTATCTAGATCATGCAAAAAAACTTATTAAATCAATATATAGTACATCATGTGTATTGTATAGACGTACCCAACGATCATGTCGAAAAACCAATGGAAAACAAATACAAAATTACATTAAAATATATTAAACACGCGATATATTTGAGTTTTGGTAATAGAAAGCCTAAACTAATTAATGATTGTTTTTCCAACGATAATATTTTATGATAATGTATTATGTAGGTGGTTATTTCAGTTGAAATTAAAACTGAATAAATATTAAAAATTTAGGTTACACAGCATTAAGTTTTTGAGCTGAGTATGTCCATTCCGTTTAAAAACATAATTGTATTATTACTATTATTAATACTACCATAATTTTGTGTTATGATTCGTTATTCTTAGAAAATATCATTCGGAGGTTAAATATTAAGTGGCATACAATTTAGGTTTATTTTTTAACTTTACCTACTATTTTAAGGTATAGTTGGTTTTTTTGGGATAAACTTCTGAAACTTCTGTTTACAAATTTCAAGTATTGACATTAAATTGAAATAAACTTTCTAGTTGTGTGCGTGCATAAAATCATTTCTTTAAAAACACCCTCGTCCCAGCTTTTACAAATAAATGAGCAGTTAATTTTTTTTTTACTATCACACCACGCCTAAAAAATCAGTTGTAGTGTGTTTGTAGATTTACTCCTGTAATAATCACATTTTTATCAGGATATTCGAGTTTGTATTTTTGTTTGTTTAGGCAAGCTCATATAAACCAAGTTTATGAAAAATATTTTTTAAAAAAAGAGTTAATATTTTGATAAAAACTGGATATTATTTCCAAGGACTTAAAAATAAATTACTATTACATATTGTATAAATTATTATATTTTTGTTAATTTATTATGGTTTTATTTACTGTATTTTTATTATAATAAGATGTGTTAAACAACAATACAATACAATACACTAAACAATATGTACTATCTTATAGGCTACATAATTTCAAGTAGTTTAAAAAAACTGTGCCCTTTTCGTCAGCATCGGCGACGGTAGGTGCTTTTAATGTTTAAGTGATATATTGTATTAAGTTGAGATTTTGGCATATTATCGCTTTCTCAAACCGTCCAAAAGAATGACACTTATAGGATGTGTTAAAGGTTAAAAAACTGTGTGTGTTTGTAATAGGTGTTCTTCATGGTTGCTCATTGTATAAATAAAAAATACAACTAATTAGATATTAAAATATGATTCAAGTCCACTGTTTTGAAACTAAAAATAACCATTAACAGTATAATATATTATGTGTATGTATGTATTTACGAGCGTGTGAAAATCTTTGTTATAATATTGTGTCAAAAATTAAACAAAATAATCTAATACAATGTATACATATACAGTATACATAACATGTAGGTTTCAAGGCATTAAAAACAATAGAA